GTGCAAACGTCCAGAGGGACCAGCTTGAACCCCGAGGACGGTTCGTGGCGTGAGGCGTCGCTGTGTTCCTCCATGGTCGGGCGCGGCCCCCTCTTACGAGAGTGAACAAAGGCCTCGATCAAATTTCATGGAGTCCCTGGCCCTTCTCCAAGAAGACACCGCATATGCATTCATCCTCGTGCGAACCCAGGTCTCAATGTGTCACATGTGCAAGCCTTTAAAGGCACTAGCTTGAACCCCGAAGACTGTTCTAGCGTGAGCAAAGCGACGTGTCCCATGTATAACCTGACACTGCCCACTGATACGAGCGTGAACAGAGGTCTCAAAGAGAGTTCATGAAGCCTCGAGTCTTCCTCCCAGGCGCAAGCCCATGTGCAGCTATCCTTGTACGATCCCAGGTCACAATCTGTCACGAGTGCAAACGTCCAAAGGGACCAGCTTGGACCCCGAGGACGGTTCGTAGCGTGAGCTATTACAGTGTTCCTCCATGTTCGGGCACGGCCCCCTGTTACGAGCGTAAACAGAAGCCTATACGAAAGTTCATGGAAGCTCAACCACATACGCGCCCCTTACGATGAGAAACCAGGTCACAGTGTGCCACATGGACCCCGTCAAATGCGAAGCAACGTACCACGAGTGCAAACGTCCAAAGAAACAACAATGCACTCCAGGGACGGTTCATGGCGTGAGACATTACCACTCTCCTCCATGACTAAGCAGCCGCCCTTGTCACGCGATAAGACAAAGGCCTGCAACGAAACTCATGGAGTATCAATACCTGTCCCGTCCATTCCAAACAAGAAACACGACGTCACAAGAACAAACGTCCCAAGAGACAACGCCACACCCAAGGACTGGACGCGGTGGAACAATTACCATGACCCTCTGTATTCAGGACAGGTCCCATGCTAACTACGGCCATCAACAGAGGCGTCTGTTAAAAGTAATGGCGCCTCGAGTCCTCCTCCCAGGCGCAAGCCTCAAACGCAGCCTGCCTTTTGCGAAATCAAGTCACAACCTGCGAAACAAAGGCACAATCTGTCACGAGTGCAAACGTCCAAAGGGACCAGCTTGAACCCTGAGGACGGTTCGTAGCGTGAGCCATTACAGTGTTCCTCCATGTTCGGGCACGGCCCCCTGTTACGAGCGTAAACAGAAGCCTATACGAAAGTTCATGGAGGCTCAACCACATACGCGCCCCTTACGATGAGAAACCAGGTCACAATGTGCCACATGGACCCCGTCAAATGCGTAGCAATGTACCACGAGTGCAAGCGTCCAAAGAAACAACAATGCACTCCAGGGACGGTTCGTGGCGTGAGACATTACCACTCTTCTCCATGACCAAGCAGCCGCCCTTGTCACGCGATAAAACAAAGGCCTGCAACGAAACTCATGGAGTACCAATACCTGTTCCGTCCCTTCCAAACAAGAAACACGACGTCACAAGAACAAACGTCCCAAGAGACAACGCCACACCCAAGGACTGGACGCGTTGGAACAATGACCATGACCCTCTGGATTCAGGACAGGTCCCATACCAGCTGCAACCATCAACGGAGGCGTCTATCAAAAGAAACGGCGCCTCGAGTCCTCCTCCCAGGCGCAAGCCTCACATGCAGCCGACCCTGTGCGAAATCAAGTCACAACCTGCGAAACAAAGTCACAATCTGTCACGAGAGCAAACGTCCAAAGGGACCAGCTTGAACCCCGAGGACGGTTCGTAGCGTGAGCTATTACAGTGTTCCTCCATGTTCGGGCACGGCCCCCTGTTACGAGCGTAAACAGAAGCCTATACGAAAGTTCATGGAAGCTCAACCACATACGCGCCCCTTACGATGAGAAACCAGGTCACAATGTGCCACATGGACCCCGTCAAATGCGAAGCAATGCACCACGAGTGCAAACGTCCAAAGAAACAACAATGCACTCCAGGGACGGTTCGTGGCGTGAGACATTACCACTCTCCTCCATGACCAAGCAGCCGCCCTTGTCACGCGATAAAACAAAGGCCTGCAACGAAATTCATGGAGTATCAATACCTGTCCCGTCCATTCCAAACAAGAAACACGACGTCACAAGAACAAACGTCCCAAGAGACAACGCCACACCCAAGGACTGGACGCGTTGGAACAATGACCATGACCCTCTGTATTCAGGACAGGTCCCATGCTAACTACGGCCATCAACAGAGGCGTCTGTCAAAAGTAATGGCGCCTCGAGTCCTCCTCCCAGGCGCAAGCCTCAAACGCAGCCTGGCTTGTGCGAAATCAAATCAATCTGTCACGAGTGCAAACGTCCAGAAGGACCAGCTTGAACCCCGAGGACGGTTCGTGGCGTGAGCCGTCACCGTGCTCCTCCGTTATCGGACACGGTGTTCTGTTGCGCGTGAACAGAAGCCAAGACGAGAGTTCATGGAGCCTGGAACTTTCATCCCGGGCACAACCTCACGTATACGTATTCCTTCTTGTGCGAAACTAAGTCGCTCACGAGTAACCCCAAAGGTCGGCTGTGAACCCGCAGGGCGTGGCTGCAGGAGGAACCCGTGATGTATCCGGAAAATTTCGGCGCGTCCAGAAAACCGCCGCTCACAGTCCCGCGTGTGCCCAGGACTCCGTCAACAAGACCGCGCTCTGACAGGTCCGCGCGGACATTTTGAGTCGACGCTGGGCACCATTCCCATGGCGCGCGGAGCGTTCCAAGGGCGGCGCCAAAGGCGCCGCCAGGGGGGCCTCAGGCGCCGACCCAAAAAATGCACGCGGACATCCAGAACGCAATGCTCTTGCTTACCAGACGAATAGCGGTATAAAACAACCTGTTCCGCCATCGGGGACGCCTGTCCCCGGACAGCCACAAAACCTAGACCCCCACAGCGGCACGTAGGCACAAAGTCTCCAGCCGTCCTGGACCAGGCGTTGGGGGGAAACGATAATGTCAGTTTGTGGTCAACAAATCCGTGGGGGGGGCGCGCGCTTAACCAAAAAATGTTGCCCTGCTCGGGCAAATCGCGAGGTGGCGCCCGCCAGATTGAAAATCAACGGCGGCGGCGCCGGTGATGGAGCCGACACCCAGCCGCCAGCGGGAAGGCGACAGGCAGCACAGACTGGGGGAGGGGAAGGGGGCGGAAGGCAAAGGCGGTAAAAGCAGGGACCGGGAGCCAGGGCGACACATGTTCGAACTGAAAAAAAACTGTTGTCAGCGCTCGCCCCCGCACTTTCCGTGCTCTTTTCTGTCGAACCGATGTGTTTCCTTTGCCCTGGCCGCAACCAAGGGGCGCCAGCTGCCTCGCGGGCCCGCGAGCAAGGCGGTCTGCACGAAAGGGGGGCGTGGCCAACCGGGGATTTGCCCAGCAGCTCACAGTGCTGATTGTCCGAGCGCCCCCTGGCGCCGAAAGCGGCCATGCATCGAGGACTGGCCCCTCGGCGGGGCGACTGAAACCAGCTGCGCGCAGCATGCTTCGCAACACACCTTTTCCTTCCCCAGCCTGTCGTCCGACCCGAAAGGCGGGCAGTCCTCTTCCCCCCTCTGTCGTGGATTCTGCGGTCGTCGACGACGACAACGACGACGATGGCGACGACGACAAGGACGAGGACGAACACGAGGACGAGGACGACGACGAGGAGGACGAGGACGAGGACCAGGACGAGGACCAGGACGAGGACGACGGACGGCGGACGGCACACGGCGACGGCGACGACGACGACGCACTGCAGATGTCCTATGGGGGGGATTGCGCAGGCCCGCTGAAGTCGACGACGACGACGACGACGACGACGACGACGACGACGACGACGACGACGACGACGACGACGACTACTTCGACGACGACGACGACGACGACGACGACGACGACGACGACGACGACGACGACGACGACGACGACGACTTCGACGACGACGACGACGACGACGACGACGACGACGACGACGACGACGACGACGACGGCGACGGCGGCGGCGGCGGCGGCGGCGACGACGACGACGACGCGACGATGACGACAACGAGGCAGTGCGGGTGCCCTATTGGGGGGGGCGGGGTGCTGCGCAGGCCCGCTGTACACGACGACGACGACGACGACGACGACGAGAAAGACGACGACGACGACGACGACGACGACGACGACGACGACGACGCCTGAGAGGGGGAAAAAATGCGCCTAGGATGTGTACGACTCTTGTAACAACTTCTATGCGAAAGGCAACCGTCTTGACGCTGTCATGCAGGGGGGTACACGATGCCATCGGCGCCGCAAGCGACGACCCCCTTGCGCGCGTGTTTTTTTTGTATAAGAAATAAAAAAAATGCGCCCCGCGGGGTCTATTTATCAGCCCCGGGTGGAGGGCGAGGGGCAGCCATTTGTTAATCACAAGCTGGCATTAGGGGGGGACTGGCTCAGGGGGGGAGGGAACATTGACCTGGAATCGCCGATACATCGCAGATCAGTCGGCAATTGGCCCCCGACAGCGCATCCGCACGTTCCTGGGCGGGGCGGGCCATCGGGCCCCCAGCGGTGATCGATGGGCGATCGGGGGTCGACGCATCCCCCCCTGAGCCTGTTACCCCCCTAACAATGCCGCTGACGGGGGCGCACCGCATCTACACCCACGGATTCGGGAGCCCCTCCGCCCCGGTGGGCGTGGGTGTCTGCCCCCGTCGTCGTCGCCGTCGTCCCTCAGGCGGCGTGGTCGCCGCCGCCGCCGCCGCCGCCGTCTTCGTCGTCGTCGTCGTCGTCGTCGTCGTCGTCGTCGTCGTCGTCGTCGTCGTCGTCGTCGTCGACTCGCCCGTGCGCCGGCCCGTGGGGCTCGGCCGCGCACGTCAGAGTGGCCTTCGTCGGGGTGGCCTCTGGTGCGCGGCCTCGGGAAGGGGGGGGGCCGAGGCCGCTCTCCCCGCCCTGCGGCCAGGCTTCCACCGTTCTCTTCGCTCCTCGTCGCCCGCCGCAGCGGGGCCGCCCGCGGGCCGGGCCCTGGCGGGCGCGCGCGCGCGCGCGCGCCCCCGAAGGCCTCCGGGGCGCCGGCCGCCGCAGCGGCGGCGGGGCCTCCGCCGCCCACGGCGGGGTCTGCGGGCGCGCCTTGCGGGGGGGGCCGACGACGACGACGCCGACGACGACGACGACGACGACGACGACGACGACGACGACGACGACGGCGGCGACGACGACGGCGACGACGACGACGACGACGGCGGCGGCGACGACGACGGCGACGGCGGCGGCGGCGGCGGCGGCGGCGGCGGAGGCGGCAGCGGAATCGGCGGAGGCGGCGGCAGGGGCGAGGGCGAGGGCGAGGGCGAGGGCGGCGGCGAGGGCGGCGGCGAGGGCGAGGGCGGCGGCGGCGGCAGCGGCGGGCGGCGGCGGCGGCGCCCGCGGATGTGGCCCTCTGCTTCGGGAGGTCTCTCTCCGGAGGCCCCTTCCGACAGCGACGGCGGCGGCGGCCATGGCTTCGAGAGCAGGTGGTGGTGGTGGTGGAAGGTCGGGTGTCTGCGGAGGCCTCTACAGATGCTCGGGGGGTCCCAGGGGTAACTCTCGGGGGCTCTCGGGGGTCCCCCGAGGGTCTCGAAGGCAGGATGAGGATAAACTATGATCGAGGTGAATCGGGAATCTCTGAGAGCTGGTGGGTCTGGAGGCTGTACCAGACGCCGACGCCGTCTCGGAGGGCTCCTGAACGCTGTGAGAGCGTTCCAGGACGCTCTGGAGAGGTGTATCTCCACCCTAGGCCTGCCTAAAGGGTCCCTCTGAGATGCCCAGAATTATTCGACGGTAGGGTCCGAAAGCACTGGAATGCTCACGATGCGTGTCAGTGCTGCTGCTGGTGCCTGGAAGCTCTCAGGCATTGCCAAAAGTGTCAGCATGTTTCTGGAGGGGGATGGAGGGGAATGGAGAAAGAGGAGGAGGAGGAGGAAAAGGGCGGAGGAGGGGTAGACGAGGGAGGCGGAGGAGGCGGAGGAGGTGGAGGCCTCCGGACGGAGCAGCTCGATTCTCCATCCCTCCTTCTCTCCCTCCTTCCCTCCCTCCCGTCCCCCCATCCCCCATCCCTCATCTCTCTTTCCCATCCTTACGTCATTCCTTCTCCTCCTCCTCCTCCTCCTCCTCCTCCTCCTCCTCCTCCTCCTCCTCCTCCTCCTCCTCCTCCTCATTCTCCTCCACCCCCCATCCTCCCTCCCATCCCCCAATCCCTTCCTCCCCCATCCACCTGCTCATCCTTCTCCCTCCTCCCTCCTACCTGCCTCCTCCAGCCAGCCTACTCATTCTCTATGCCCCCCTCTTCGCAATGGGGGGGCGTAAACGTTCACGTCAACGCCAAGGTCGGAAGTCACCTCCATCGAGGGATGCTGACTGAAGATATTTCGGCCTCGTCGGTGGTCCCAATGTCACCACTAGCACCACCACCACCACGGTCTCTACCTGCCAGGCGGCCGACAACTCCGAAAAACTGGCCGCCGCCGCAGTCTCCTTCGCGACGCCCGGGAGGCCTGGGGGTCATCGGCCACATGAGCCTCCTGAGCGGGGCTGGAGCGGCTGGAGGATCGCACCGCATCGCCGATGCATCGGCGATGCATCGGCGACGGCGATGGAGAAGGATCGGGCTCCACATCGCGCCACATCGTGTCCGTTCTCAGCTTGTCGGTTTTCGGCCAACCAAAAAAGAAAACCGTACGGCAGCCGAAAACAGACACAAAAAACAAACAACAACAAACAGTAATAAAAGCATGCAAACACACACACACACACACACACAAACAACAACACAACCGAAGCGAAAAGAGCTCAACTGATAATCCAAAAACGGGAAAGAAAAATCGAGCAAGAACAAAGAAAACACCTGTCTAGGAAAAACAACAACAGCAGCAGCAGCAACAACAACACCAATACCAACAGCAACAACAAGAACAACAACGGACACCTTAACAATACGGACACCTTAAAAAAACTGACCCCCAAAAAATACGATAAAAAAACGGACACATCAAAAAAACAAGAAAAGCAAAATCCGCGCGGGCATCTGCGGCCCCTACCCCCCGCTCGCCCGCCGCGCGCCGCCCGCGGCGCCTGCGTCCGCGCCATCACCTACGGGGCCCGGTTCCGCGGCGGCCTCCGCCACGTCCGCCGGGAGCTCCGCCGCGCCCGCCTGCACGACAACGCTTCCGATCGAGGGCGACGACAGACGACGGCGACGACAGACGACGGCGTCGACGACGACGACGACAAAGTCGGCGACAAAGATGTCGACGAAGACGACGTCAGCGACGACGACGACGACGGCGACGACGACAACGACGACGGCGACGGCGACGGCAACGGCGACAGCGACGGCGACGGCGACGACGACGACGACGACGACGTCAGCGACGACGGCGGTGGCGGCAACGACAGTCACGACGACGACGACGACGACGACGACGACGACGACGACGACAAAGTCGGCGACAAAGACGTCGACGAAGACGACGTCAGCGACGACGACGACGACGACGACGACGACGACGACGACGACGACGACGGCGGCGGCGGCGGCGGCGACGACGGCGGCGGCGGCGGCGGCGACGGCGGCGTCAGCGACGACGGCGGTGGCGGCAACGACAGTCACGACGACGACGACGACGACGACGACGACGACGACGACAAAGTCGGCGACAAAGACGTCGACGAAGACGACGTCAGCGACGACGACGACGACGACGACGACGACGACGACGGCGACGACGACGGCGGCGGTGGCGGCGACGACGACGGCGGCGGCGGCGGCGACGGCGGCGGAGGCGACCGCGACAATCACGACGACGACCACGATGACGACGACGACGACGACGACGTCGACGGAGACGACGGCATCGAAGTCGACGGCGATGACGACGTCAGCGACGACGACGACGACGACGACGGCGGCGGCGACGATGACGACGACGACGACGTCGATGACGGCGGCGGCGGCGGCTGCGACGGCAGCAATCACGACGACGACAAGAACGACGACGACGACGACGACGACGACGACGACGGAGACGGAGACGACGACGTAGACGACGACGACGACGGTGGCGGCAACGACGACGGCGACGGCGACGGCGACGGCGACGACGACGACGACGTCAGCGACGACGACGGCGGTGGCGGCAACGACAGTCACGACGACAACGACGGCGTCGACGACGACGACGACGGCGACGACGTCGGCGACGACGACGACAAAGTCGGCAACAAAGACGTCGACGAAGGCGACGACGACGACAACGACGACGACGACGACGACGACGACGACGACGACGACGACGACGACGACGACGACGACGACGACGGCGGCGGCGGCGACGACGACGACGACGACGGCTGCGACGGAGACGACGACGGCGTCGAAGTCGACGGCGATGACGACGTCAGCGACGACGACGCCGACGAAGACGACGACGACGACGACGACGATGACGACGACGACGACGATGACGACGTCGATAACGGCGGCGGCGGCTGCGACGGCAGCAATCACGACGACGACGACGACAAAGTCGGCGACAAAGACGTCGACGAAGACGAGTACCGGCGTACTCGAGTCTCGCGTTTCTAAGATCCACGCCAATCCGCCCACTTAGAGGCCTCCTAGATGGGGTCCGAGCAGATGGGGTCGAAGGATCGCGCCGCATCGCCAATGCATCGGCGACATCGGCGATGCGTCGGCGATGCGTCGGCGACGTCGGCGTGTGGAAATACGGTCTCAACATCGAGCCGCATCCTCGATGCATCGGCGATGCGGCGCGATCCTCCGACCCCATCTGCTCGGACCCCGTGCAGGAGAGGAGGCCTAGAGTCTTTGAGGGGCAACGGTAGGGAGGGATAGGCATGGGGGGGAATGCCTCGACCTGGAATCGGCGATACATCGTCGATAGATCGGCGATACGCCCCCGATAAAGAATCCGCACCTTCCTGGGCGGGGTGGGGCCATCCCGTCCCTATCGGCGATCAATGGGCGATTGGAGGGCGATGCATCCCCCCCCTATGCTGAGGTCGGGCATGTCCTCCTACAGGCGGATTTTGGTGCGAAAATGCAAAAATGCTCCAAAAATATTCAGACATGGTGAAAGAAATGCTCGAAAAATCGCCCCCCGACTATTTCTCGACTATCTTTGAGTTTCCTCCAGTAGAAGGACATGCCCGACTGAACCCTATTTGGCGGCGCGCAAAAGGGGGCCCGCGCCTTCTAAGAAGCAGGGGTGCTTCTAAGAAGCCTTCCCCCCTCCCCCTACCCCCCTCTGCGCGTTGCCGACCTATGCCCTTCCCCCCCCTGCCCTTGCCCTTGCCCCCGAAGCCCTGCGCTCCTCCGCTCCGCGCCACAGTCCGCCCCCTCCGCCCGGCGCCCCCCCCCGCAACAGCCGCAACCCCTCCCGGCCCCCGGGCCCCGACGGCACGCAACCGGGCGCCCCCCCCGGCCGCGGCCCCGGCTCAATTTGACGCATCTCCCTCCCCTCGCGGCGCCACCTCCAGAGATCTGTCGGGCGGGTGTCCTCCTCCTCCTCCTCCTCCTCCTCCTCCTCCTCCTCCTCCTCCTCCTCCTCCTCCTCCTCCTGCTCCTGCTCCTGCTCCTGCTCCTGCTCCTGCTCCTGCTCCTGCTCCTGCTCCTGGCACGTGGGGGGTGGGCCCCACCCGGGGGGGTGAAGAGGAAGGGCCCTGCAGGGGCCCCTTTTCGGGCCCCCCTCTGGAGCACGCAGGGGCCCAAAAAGGGGCCCCAGAGGGCCCCTTCGGGGCCCCTTTTGGGTCACGCCCCACGTGGGTCACCCCCCATTACCACCCGCCCGAAGATCTGGACCCCTTCCCCGGGGCCAATCTTTCGCCCCGACTCGTTTTTGTTGACGGTCCCGGGGCGCGGCCAGTGAGGGCTCCCCCGAAGCCGATCACGGCAGCAACACATAAAAAGCCTCCCTCGTGATCTCTTCGCACCGAGGGGAGGAGGAGGAGCAACGAGGGGGGGGACTGGCACAGGGGAGGGATGCCTCGACCTGGAATCGGCGCTACCTCGCCGCCAGCTCGGCGATGGGCCCCCGCTAGCGAAAACACCGCACCTCTAACCCCCGAGGCCTACGGCAGATTAGTGTCGTGACGACTTCGGCGTTGGTTTCTGACACCGTGCGGATCGGTCAACCTTGAACGATCGGCGGTGCTTCGATCGCCCGATCGTTCCATGTAGGCCGATTCTGGGCCACTGGCGGCGCTCGACGTTGACCGCCCGCGGCGGGGTCGCCGCCGGTCGACACGACACGAACCAGCCGCATTCCCCCCCGGTCGTTGCCCCTGAGCGGCGGTGGAGGCACGGCGCCGCCGCCCCTCCTCGACGAGGCGCTCCGCGGCTCCTCCCCCCGCTGCCCGCCCCAGGGCAGGGAACCCGTGGCAGGAGCGGCGGAGCGAACGCGCGCGGGCGGCCTCGCCGTCGTCTGCGGCCGGCGCCGCGGCCGGCGCCGACGAGGACGAGGAGCACCAGCGCTCGTGGCACAGGGCGTCGGGGAAGACCTGCTGGCATCAGGGGAGCGGGTCCACTCTTCCTTCCTCCCTTCGCCCTCCTTCCTCCTCTTCCTCCTCCTCCCTCCTCTTCCTCGTCTTCTTCCTCCTCCTCCTCCTCCTCCTCCTCCTCCTCCTCCTACTCCTCCTCCTCTCCCTCCTCATCCACCACCTCCTCTTCCTCCTCCTCCTCCTCCTCCTCCTCCTCCTCGATTCCTTCTTCCATATAAATAACTACCCCCTGTCGCACCCCCAGACGTGTCGACAGGGCGGGCCCGGCGTCTCGCCTGACGCTTCCTCGCCACGTATGACCTCTGAGGCGTGGAATTCGCAACAGCCCCAGGGATGGAGGGCGGCCCGTTCTCAGAATGCGGCTCTCGCGTTAGCGCCGCGCACCTTCGTCTCAAAAAAGTTTGCTGCGGCTTTGCAGAGATGGAGGTTCCTTTTCGAAACTTGGCTGTCGCCTGAGCGCAATGCACACTAGAAGTTCCCATCCGTTTTGATGACTCGTGCGGCTGAAGTCCCAGGACTGGTGCTTCGGCAGGAACATTGCTTGTTAGGATGCAACGGTCACGCTGATTCGGGAGCTGACGTGCCAGGAACAGTGCTCTGGCGAGATTCGGGGTTATCGGGACGCAGCAGTCACGCTGATCCGCGGAGTTGAAGTCCCAGGAACGGACTTCCGGCACGGCTAGAGCTTGTCCGGACGCAACGGTCACGCTGAATCGAGGCGTCGGAGTCCCGAGGCACGCTGGTAGATTCTCAGACAGTTGTCTTCTGGTGGGGCGCGTCCCGCAGTGACAGCAGCCTCTTGTAGGGACCTGTGAACAGGGAGCTTGGAGGGAGGATGGATTGAAACTTCGTTGATGCGTCTTGGGTGCACACTGGCATTACATGTCTTCCTCCTCATCCTCCTCCTCCCTCTCCTCATCATTACCATCATGATCCTCATCGTCGTCATCATCATCACCATGAGCATCATCATCATCATCATCATCATCATCATCATCATCATCATCATCATCATCAGCAGCAGCAGCAGCATCATCTTCACCATCATCACCATCATCATCACCACCACCATCATCATCATCATCATCATCATCATCATCATCATCATCATCATCATCATCATCACCATCGTCATCCTGGTCATCACCATCACAATCGTGATCCTAGTCATGATCCTCCTCCTCATCCTCCTCATCATCATTACCATCAGCATCGTCATCACCATCAGCATCAGCATCATATTCGTCGTCATCATCATAAGCATCGTCATCATCAGCAGCATCAGCATCATCATCAGCAGCATGGGCATCATCATCATAGTCAGCATCATCATGATCATCATCATCAGCATCATCAATATCCTCCGCATCATCGTCATCATCATTATCAGCAGCATCATCCACATCATCCACATCATCATCATCATCATCATCATCATCATCATCATCATCATCATCATCATCATCATCATCATCATCATCATCATCATTACCATTATCATCGTCATCCTGGTCATCATCATCACCATCCTCCTCATCCTCGTCGTCGTCGACATCATCCTCCTCCTCCAAAACCATTCTCCTCCTCATCATCACCGTCATCTTCACCATCATCATCATCATCATCATCATCATCATCATCATCAGCATCAGCATCAGCATCGTCATCATCGTAATAGTCGTCATCGCCATCATCATCATCAGCAGCATCACCAGCAGCAGCATAGTCGCCATCGCCATCATCCGCATCATCAGCAGCATCATCACCACAAGAATCACACTTATAACCATCATCATCATCAGCAGCAGCATCATCAGCATTATCATCATCCTCATTATCATCATCAGCATCAGCATCATCATCAGCATCAGTATCATCATCATCATCACCATCACAATCGTCATCACCATGATCACCATCATCAGCATCATCATCAACATCATCAGCAGCATCATAATCCTCAACGTCATCATGATAATGATCATCATCATCATCATCATCATCAGCCCATGCAGCATCAGTATTGTCCTCATCAGAATCATCATTCCCATCCTCATCCCCATCCTAGTCATGATCCTCCTCATCCTCATATTCCTCATCATCATTACCATCATCATTACCATCATCATCGTCTTCATCATCGTCGTCAGCATCAGCATCATCATCAGATTCGTCGTCATCATCATAAGCATAGTCATCATCATCATCAGCAGCATCAGCGTCATCATCATCCGCAACAGCAGCAGCACATCGGCGCCATCGTTGTCATCAGCATCACCATGATCATCATCATCATCATCATCATCATCATCAGCATCATCATGATCATCCGCATCATCGTCATCATCGTCAGCATCATTCGCATCATCCGCATCATCGTCATCACCATCAGCAGCATCATCCGCATCATCCGCATCATCCGCATCATCATTATCATCATCATCATCATCACCACCATCATCATCATCATCAGCAGCAGCATCATCACCATCATCATCATCATCATCACTCCTCTCTTCATCCGCCTCTTCATTCCTCCCCTCCCCCGTCTGCTCTCCAGGTCTCCTCCCTCCCTCCTCCTCGGCCGCATGCCAGGGAGCGGAAGCGGGGGGGACGATGGGGCCGCGCCACTGGGGTGGAAGGGGTGCGCCTCCAAGATTTTCCCCGTGGGACCCCCCACTCTGCATGCGGGAAGCTTGCCCTGCAGGAAAGGTGTCGTAGAGCTTCCTCACCGTCTTCGGGCCCACTGGGGCCCTCTGCGGGCCCCGGGACCGAAGGTTTATTTGTGTTTAGTATCATTATTACCATTATTAACATTGTTATTTATATTATTATCATCATTATTATTATCATTACTATTATTATTGTTATTGTGTTTGTTATTATTGTTGTTATTCGTGTTGTTCCTCGACCGTACGGCAGGTGCGTGCCTTGACGACCTCGGCGTTGGTCTCTGACACCGCGGGGACCGTACAACCTTCAACGATCAACCATTTCCGAAACGTAAGATCCTTCAACACCGTCGACCGATGATGGGCCGCCGCCGGCGTTCAAGGCTGATTGCCGGCGGCGGGGTCGCCGCCGGCCGGCACGACGCGAACCGACCGCACTTCCCCTCGTGGCGAGCCTGGGCTCTCGGGCGGCCTCGGGCGACGGGGGCGTCCTGCGGCTCGGGGCATCGATGCCCTTTCCCCCCCCGCGCTCTGCCCACGTCCGGCCTCGGGGGGGGGGCATGGGCCTCCGGAGCCCCCGCTGCAGGGCCAGCGGAGAAGACCGAGGACCTCTGGCGCCACGTGCGGCCTGTGGGGATGCGGACAGCTCGCCCGCCCCACCGCCATGCAGAGAAGGGGAGGGGGGAGAGGGGAGGAGGGAGGGAGGGGGGAGGAGCAGCAGAAGAAGGGGGAGGGGGGAGGAAGGAGGGAGGAGGGAGGAGAGAGGAGAAGAGGGGGGGGCAGAAGAGGGTGCGGGAGGAGCAGCAGCAGCAGCAGCAGCAGCAGCAGCAGCAGCAGCAGCAGCAGCAGCAGCAGCAGCGGGGGGAGGAGCTCAAGACAAAAATGCGGAAGCAACGGTACAGCCCGCAGGTGCCCTGTAAAAACTCGCACAATGCAAAAACAAAAAAAAGCTGCCCCGTCCAGAGAAGGGGAGGGGGGGAAGAGAAAGACGAAGAAGAAGAAGAAGAAGACGAAGAAGAAGAAGAAGCAAAAGAATAAGAATAAGAATAAGAATAAGAAGAAGAAGAAGCAAAAGAAGAAGAAGAAGAAGAATAAGAAAGATAATCTCGACCTTCCGAGGGTGGGCTGCGCCAGCCATGCTCTGAGACCGCGGCGAGCCCGCGTGCGAGGGCCTACCTCCAGCAGTCACCGCCGTCGTTGGGGAAGGAGGAGCGGGAAGGAGGGGGGAGTATGAAGGGGCCCCAGGACACACAAATAAATACACACAAACAAAATGATTCCCCATACTTTCCCATATTTCTGGATTTCTGTCTTCCCCCCACTTCCCATATTTTCCCATATCTTCTGGGGAATCGAGGATTAATTGTGTCTGTGTTTTTTTCCTCTCCTGAGAGTAGCGGCACGCGGCCGAGGCGGAGAAGGCGAGAGAGGTCCACAGGAGTCCTCAACCAGCCGAGCAGCTCGCGCAGGCCAGCACTGTGGCGAACCCGCTGTCGGAGCCGCGGGGAGGAGGGGAAGCATAACAGGAGAGGAGGAAGAAACGGAGGAGGAGGAGCAGCAGGAGGAGGGAGAGAAGGAAGAGGAGGAGGAGGAGGAGGAGGAGGAGGGAGAGGAGGAGGAGGAGGAGGGAGAGGAGAGGAGGAGGAGGAGGAGGAGGAGGAGGGGAGGAGGAGAGGAGGAGGAGGAGGAGGAGGAGGAGGAGGAGGAGGAGGAGGAGGAGAGGAGGAGGAGGAGGAGCAGCAGCAGCAGGAGGAGGCAGAAGCAGGAGCTTCGGACGGTAGGGCGCGGCGGCGATAACTGCGGCGGCGGCGGCTGCGACGAGGAGCGCGCGCGCCGTGCGGCTGGGCGGGGCCTTCGGCAGCTGCAGCACGCGGCCCTCCTCCCAGTGCTCCTCCGGCTCGGGGCACAGGGCCCAGACCAGGTCGTTGACGCCGACGTCGCTGCCTGGGCGGCAGGGCCTTGTCTGTAGATGTAGCCATCAGTCGGAAGAAGCAGGTAGAAGCATGAAGTAGGAAGGTTTTGAAAATAGATCGGATTTCCGCCTGCCCCTTAAAGAGGACGGAAAAGGTGAAGCTACTCGATCGTTGAAGCAGGAAGGCGCTGAAAGTACATTGGAATCTGGGAATCCAAGGCCGGGCGGTCGGGCGGAGCCTCCAGGGGGGTGCCGCGTGGGGGGGGGGGAGGCCGTCGTGAAATCGGACACCGCGCCCCCCAGAGATCCGAGGGCCCAAGAACAGACTGGCGCGGACAGCTTTTGGCCATCGTCGGCCTCTGGGGGGCCTCGCCAGGCCTCGGGAGCGTCCAAAGACGACTCAGGACGAAAAACCGGCCCCGGGGAAAAGGTCCGGACTCGTGGGGCCCACGCATCGAGAAAATTGGAGCAGCCCGATGTCTGGGCCGCCTCCTCCTAGGTGGGCGTGCTCATGAGCATGGTCATCCGGACGGCCCTCCTCTTCACAGTATGCTTGGGGGACGCTGGGACCTCGGCGTCGGTCTTCGTGCAGTGGAGGCGGGACGGGGATGGGTCCCGATGAAGGATGGATCGAGCATCTCTGAGATCCGGCGTCGTCTGGTGGATGCATCCATCGGGCGCCGCGGCCAATGCAGAGCGCTCCAGAACGGTCGGAAGCGACGCACGCCGCGACCAGATCGAAGGATGCGCGGTAATTAAGAGGGCGGGGCCTAAGGTTATGTCGGGCGTGTCCCCCTACAGGGGGATTTTCGACGAAAAATAAAAAATACCCTCAAAATGGTCCAAAAATAGTCCAAAAATAGTCTGGGGACTATTTTTTGAATTTTTGTTTGCCATTTGGAGCATTTTTGGAGTATTCTTTAGTTGTCGTCGAAAATCCCCCTGTAGGGGGACACGCCCGACTTAAGCCCGAGGACGCCCCAGGCTGACGAGGAGCGTGGAGGCCCAGGGCCCACGGCCACGGAGGGCTGCAAGGGCTGGGAGATGGGCTGAGAGGCAGGGACGCCCTGGGAACAGAACAGATCGCGCTGCCATAAGGAACGCTGAAGAAGGGGCCCCAGGACACACAAATAAACACACGCAAATTCAAAAGATTCCCCCTATTTTCCCATAGTTTCTGGGTTTCTGTCTTCCCCCCCCACTTCCCATATTTTCCTATATTTTCTAAGGAATCGAGGATTAATTGTGTCTGTGTGTTTTTTCCTCTCCTGAGCTGAATAAGGAGCGAAGGGACTTTTCCGGCCACTGCGAGCCTCAGCCGCAAGTAGGTTCCCCGAACTAGCTCTAAGGAACGGCCCGAAGACCAGATCCCCTCCTGAATCCCAACTTGGTGCTCATTTCTGCGTCTTCGCTGTAGCGAACATTTTCTTATTCGGCATGTCGACATTGGGCGGAAGGGGGGGTGGGGTCGGGCTGCGGACCTCTGCTTCATGCCACTGCTTGCGACAGTGCGTCCTATGGGGGAGACCCCACCTGCCTGAAACGGGCGCCAGAAACAGCCAAGATCTACTCCATGGGGGGGGGGACCCTGACCTCCCAGTGCTAAAAAATAGCCCTCCAGACCTATAGACCAATCTGGACTGCCTAACACCTCGACAAGAATTTAGATGCCGAGGTCCTGGTGCTATTTTTTGGCCCTCCTGAAAGGTCAGGGGGAAGGGGGGGGCGAGGGCCCGCGCCGATCGGCAAAACAAGGAACAAGGAAACGATCACGTACTCATCCTGACGATGGCGTTCGACTGCATCCTCAGCGCAGAGGCCTGCTCTTGGCTCTGCCTCTGCGAAGGCCTCCCGATGTGGAGACTCTCCGCCACGGCGGCCGGGTCCGCTCCGCCTCTCGAGGTCCTGGCCTGGGGCCGCTTCGGGGACGGCTCCGGGCGGCGGGGTCCCGGGACTGCCCCGGCCCTCCGAGGAGCTGCGACAACAAAAAAATGCGGCGGGCATTCCTTCGCGATTCTGGCGCTCCACACAAACTGGAGCAGGCGGTTTTTTGCCATGTTCGGCCTCTGGGGGTCCTCGCCGAGCCTCGGGAGCGTCAAGAAACGACTGAGGACGAAAAACCGGCCTGGGGGAAAGGGTCTGGACCTGTGGGGCCCAGGGCCCACGCCCCCAAAAAATTGGAGCAGCCCGATGTCTGGGATGCCCACGGACACCTCGAGCGCGTGGTGATAAGACGGGTGCAGGGCTCGGCCGATTGGCAACTGGTTCGTGCTCCCCCGAGCGCCACCATTGCAGATGTAGCGCCACTGCTCACCCAGGCGTGCGGAATGCCTCTCCCCAACAAGGTCCCCACGGGCCGAAAATGGCCAGAAAAACTGTCCCGATGTTTGTCACAGCGAGAGCAGGTCTAGCTTTCGGGTCAGAACTCGGCTCTCCCGCGGCCGTTAGGGACGATTTGGGTATCCCCAGAATGCTCGGCGAGACGCAGCTGCAGGAAAAAATCCCGAGGCTTACAAGGCACCAAGAGCTGGCGAAAAATGGCCTGACGAAACCTTCCTTCCTGCTCTTCTTCACGCCCCAACACCAGTCGTAGCAGCTGGCGCGAAAAAGTGAAAAACGGCGGCCTGGTCCGAGGCGCAGCAACCTGTGCGTCAGCTCGGTGGTCAGCTGCATCAGCGAGCGGCGCGCCTGCCGATTCTTAATACTTCTGAAGAGGAGGAGCAGGAAGAGGAGGAAGAGGAGGAAGAAGAAAGAGAAGAGGGCTGTTTTCATTATGCGCTCGAAGCCCCTGGAGATTCCCCCTATACCCCCCCGCCCCTGGCCCCAAAACCGTAAATTTGATCCCCCCGGCCCCAGACGACCCCGGGAGGAACGCGTCATGCGGGTATAGAGGGCACCAAAACGGGCCGAGAGGGCGCTAAGAGGCCCTCAAGACAAGAGGGTCCCGAATCGCCGAAGGATCGCTTCAAGCTGCCCAAGATGACCTCCAGACGGCCCAAGATGTTCCCAAGACGCCCCCAGAGGCATCCAGGAGGCCCCCCAAGAGGGCCTCAAGAGGCAGAAGTCACTGCTTTCCAGTAGGTTTCTGAACGATGTTGGCGCTCTCGCCTGTTCGGTTTTCCGACGCTCCAACTGCCCCAGAGGCCCCCAAGGTCGGCACAAGAAGGCCCAAAAGGGCCTCCAAAAGGGCCCCAAAACGGCCCCAAGAGGGCTCCGACGCGGCCTAAGAAGCATCCAAGACAGCCCAAGAGTCCCCTAAGACGGCTCCGAGAAGGGGTCCAGACGGGGTACCCGAACGGACAGTTCAAGCCCTCCGCTCCGAGAGGCCTAGGAAGCCCCAAGAGGCCCCCAAGAGGCCCCAGCAGACACCCGAAAGGCCCCCAGGAACCACCAAGAGGCCCCCAAGAGGCTCCCAAGAGGTCATCAAGAGGCTCCCAGAAGACCCCCCGAAAGCACCCTGGAGGGGTGCAACATCGCCCTGAAGCCCCCGACACGAGCCTGAAAAGCCCCCAGGGGGCCCGAAGAAGCCTCCACAATCGCTCCACGACGGCACAAGTGGCTCCCAGGACGGCCCCATTATAGCCTCGAGAGCCCCCGAGAAGCCCCCGAGACGCCCCCCAGGGACTCAAAGAGCAACCCAAGCCAGCCAGAGACGCTCCCAACAGGCCACCAAGGAGTCCCCAAGAGGCCCCCAAGATGTTCCCAAGAAGCATCCAAATGAAAACTCCAACGAGGTCCCAAGCGTCCATGCTCTCCGCGATCCTGACGTGCACCCCGCGAAGCGAGAGGAATCATTGACTAGGTGTTTGAGCGAGTTTGGTGTTCTCGCCTTGTCGGGCTTCCAGCACTCCAAGACAGCCAAGAGGCCCGCAAGATCGAGCCAGGACGGCCCAGGAGGCCCCCAAGAAGGCCTAAAAAAGCCCCAAGAGGGCCCAAAGCAAGGCCCCAGTGGGGGGAATGCGAAGAGGCATTAGAGCCCTTCCCCTACCTCTTGCCCCCAAGAAGTTCCGTACGGCCCCAGAAGGAAGGCCCCCCAAGGCTCCACCAGCAGACTCCAAAAAGAGAGCCCCAGAAGGCCCCAAGAAGCTCCAAGGGGCCGCAACAATGCATCCGAGGGGCCCTCGAGAAGCTTTCCAAAGGGCGGCCCAGGAGGCCCAAACAAGACACCCGAAGCGAACCACTCGCCCTGCAACTCTGCGCCGGCACCTGCGTCAACCTCCCGGGGAGCGGCCGGTGATGCGCCGCTGGCGTTCTCGATGTTGAAATCACGCGCGTGGACAAGATCAGTCCGCGGGAGGTCGACGCTGGTCGACGCTACTTCGGCGGCAATCAGCGCGAACCGACGCTGACTCCCAGACGCCCATCGGCGCTGCTCGACGCTGAAGGCAGATTTCAGATGGTACACCGGGCTCCCATGATTTTCGGAAGCGGCCAAGAGGGGGGTGTCCAAGAGGGGGGGGTGCAAATCATGACCGGCGGCATGTGCGCGGCCCAGCGGGGGTGCCAGGGACGTAATGAAAGAAGAAGCGGCGCCATGACATCAGGGAAAATATCATGGCCCCCGCCATGACATCCACCCCCCCCCTAGTCATCACCCCCCTCTTTTCCGCCCCCGATGGTTTGCTGCCGAGGGGCACTGCCGGGGCGGCAGGAGAGGAGGAGAACTCGTAGAGGGCGCACCCGCAGAAGCCCGCGGGCGAACGGACGAACGCGCGAAGCACCCGCGGGGTCAGACAGGCCGACTGGTGGGGCCTGCGCGGGGCGGCCGTGGCCGCCCACCTGCCGTGGAGAGAGGAGGGGGAGGAGGAGGAGGAGGAGGAGGAGGAGGAGGAGGAGGAGGAGGAGGAGGAGGAGGAGGAGGAGGAGGAGGAGGAGGGAGGGAGGAGAGGAGGGAGGAGGAGGAGGAGGAAGGCGGAGGAGGAGGGAGGAGGAGGTGGAGGAGGAGGGAGGAGCGCGCGGTGTCGGTCCAACGGGACCGGCCCTACGAGGGCGGCGCAGGGGGGGGGGATGAAATGGACGCTTCAGCCTACGCTCTGTGAGAGGCCGGTGGATGATATCAACGGCGGGTTTCTCCGCGTCGCTCTGGGCGCCAGCCGTGTCGCATCCCTCGCGGGATGGCATCGCCATGAGGAGCTGCAGAAAAGGAAGACGGCGGGAGAGGGGAGAAGGGAGGAGGAGGAGGAAGGAGGAGGAGGATTGTAGTGTAGTGTAATACAAATGCCCTTGAGGGTAGGCATAACCCTGACGAGTCGGGTGGTGCATATTGGCTCTCCCATCCTTGAAGCGGTGTTCGTGGAGGTTGGGATGACACGCCTTCTGGTCCCAGAGCCTGTGCAAGGACCATTGTTGGCACCTGGTATTAGAGGATGGTGTGCGTGGTCAGGAGGAGGAGAAGGAGGAGGAGGAGAAGGAATGGAACGGGATCGGCGGCGAGCGAGGGGGAGAAGGTGAGTGAGAAGGCGAAGGCACTCTCAAACGCGGCGGGGCTTCTCAGACGGCCCCCCAGCCTTCCGAGAAGTCTTCTGTGACTTCGGAGGTGCTCAGAACACATCTCTCAGAGGGCTGGGGGGCTTCCGAGCCTACTGAGAAGGCCCGCCCCTCCTCACCTACCCCCCCCGTCGCTCGCCGCCGACAGGAGGGAGGGGAGGGAGGAAGTGCAGGGCTCGAGCGGAACAGTGATGCTCGTTTTCGCTTTGTTTTCGCGTTCCCTCGTTACGTCTTCAATCCGCCTTTGCTGCAGAACGAAATCGAAACGAAAACAGCCCACAAATTGCCAGAACATAGTTTAGCTCGAGCCCTGAAGGAAGAGGAGGGAGCTGCAGGGCTCGAGCTAAACAGTGCTAGTTGTTGTCGCCTTGAGCTCGCCCTCCCTCGTTGTGTCTTCGATCCGCCCGCTCTGCAGAGCGAGATCGAGACGAGAACGGCCCATGAAATCGCCAAAACACCGTTTAGCGTTAAGTCGGGCCTGTCCCCCTACAGGGGGATTTTCGACGAAAAATAAAAAATACCAAAAAATAATAAAAAAATAATCCAAAAATAGTCTGGGGACTATCTTTTTAGCATTTTTTGACCATTTGGGGGTATTTGGGTGGTATCTTTAATTTTTCGTCGGAAATCCCCCTGTAGGGGGACACGCCCGACATAAGTTTAGCTCGAGCCCTGCTCAAAGGCCCTTCTCGGGAGGCCCCTGCTTCTCTGGGAGCCCCCCCCCCCCCCCCTGTGGGCCTCTCGGTGCCACTTTTCCCGAGTGCGGCCAGGAGCTCCTGGATCGCGTGCCGCGGCGGCGCCCCCTCGCACCGGACCGCCGAAGAAAGGGCCGCCGCCGCACCGCCTCGCCAAGCGTATGGGGATCGGGCCGGATCTCGAGCCAGCCAAGATCGGTGCCAGAACTAGATCGGGCATGTCCTCCTACAGGTCGAGGAAAAATATCATTCATGGGTGGACAAATGCTCCAAAACAGTCAACTATATTCGAAAAATCGTCTCCAGACTGTCTTTGCACTGCTTTTGCATATTCCTCCTGTAGAGGGGCGTGGCTGCTGACTTACCAATAGATCGCGCCCTCCGGAAGAGAATGGAGCTGCAGCAGCCGCGGGGCGCGCCTGCCGCTTCTGCGACTCCGCGCCCGACAGCTGGCGCTGGGAGGCGGCGCGGTCCTGCGCACCGGGGAGGGCGGGGGACGGCCGCAGGCAGCGCAGGCCTGCAGGACGACGACGACGACGACGACGACGACGACGACGACGACGACGACGACGACGACGACGACGACGTCGACAACGACGACGTCGACGACGTCGTCGTCGACGACGGCGGCGGCTACGACGGCGACTACGACGACGTCGACGACGGCAACGAGCCGATCCCGCCGCGGGGGAGCTGCGGGTTCGGACGCGCGGGCCTCGGGTCGAGCGCAGCGTTCGGGTGCGATCGACGACGACGTCGACAGCGACGACGTCGACGTGCACCGCGGCGAGGAAGACGACGTCGACGACGACGGCCTGCCCGCGGCGCCTCCCCGCGCGTTCGACAAGACACCACATCCCCATCCTGGCTTCCAGAGGGAAACACCTTGAAGAGCACTGCACAAGCAGTGCAACACCATGCAGCGCAGGACAGTGGGACATACTGCAAAGAGCAACGTAATGAAAACGCAGTGCCATGCCAATGTAACGCAGCGCACTGCAGTGCAACGCGCAAGCTACGCAAAGCAAAAGCACTGCAAGGGCAATGTAAAGGCGATGCAAAGGCAATGCTACGTCGTGCGATGCGACTCGATGCTACATGATAGGTGGTGCGCAATGCCATATAAAGAGAATCAGGGAAAGCCTTGCGGTGATCAAAGGAATCGAGAAGAATAAACATACGATCTCCAAGATCCATGCGGATTTCTTGGATCGGCGGGTGACCCCCCACTCCCTGGTGCGCGGAGCGCCCCAGGGGGGGCAGCACAAATCCAAGAAACCAGCACGGATCTTAGAGAAAGTATCAGTCATGCAACTTGTTATTTTCGATTGACTCAAACTTCTGCAGCTGCACGAAGAGACAGGGCCCGAGTGCCGGGAACCCGACCGCGCAGGCTAGTCCGAGAGCCACGGCCCCTTCGCAATGCACAGAAACAGCAAGATCCCCTTCAAAAAAGCCTAGGGCATGCGTTGAGGACAAAGGAAAAAACCTGGAGCCTCCTCCTCCTCCACCCACAAGTCCTCCCCTTCCTCCTCTCCTCCTCCTCCAACTCCTCCTCCTCCTCCTCCTCCTCCTCCTGCTCCTCCTCCTCCTCCTGCTCCTCCCTCCTCCTCCTCCAATTCCTCCTCCCGATCAACCACCTCATCCTCCTCGTCTTTCTCCTCCTGCCCCTGTTCCTCTTCCTTTTCCTCGACCTCCTCCTCCTCCTCCGCCTCCTCCTCCTCATCATCATCATCATCAGCAGCAGCATCAGCATCAGCATCAGCATCAGAATCACCACCATGACAATAATCATCATCAGCAGCAGCATCAGCATCAGCATCATCATCATGATCATAATCATCGAAAAATCATATCCCCTGAGGCCCAAACGGCAACTGGCACTATAGATCCATCACCCACCACCCATCATCACCATCACCATCAGAACCACCACCTTCACAAGCACCATCACGACCACCATCACCATCACCATGACCATCACCATCACCATCACCATCACCATCACCATCCTCATCATCATCATCATCAGCATCATATTTAACATCGTCATCATCATCATCACCACCACAATCATCATCAGCATCATAAAATCATGATCAGCATCAGCATCATCCTTCTCATCGCCATCATCATCAGCATAATCATCAGATCCATCATCATCAACATCATCATCATCATCATCATCATCATCATCATCATCATCATCAGCATCATCATCATCATCATCATCGTCATCATCATCCTCATCCTCATCATCATCAGCACCACCACCACCACCATCACCACCAGCATCATCAACATCATCAGCATCATCATCGTCATCATCATCCTTATCATCATCATCATCATCATCATCATCATCATCATCATCATCATCATCATCATCCTCATCATCACCATTATCATCATAAGCAGCAGCATCATCACCATCAGCATCATCATCGTCCTCATCATCATCACTACAACCACTACCATCATCATCACCAGCATCATCATCATCATCATCATCGGCATCATCACCATCATCATCGTCGACATCATCCGCATCATCATCTTCATCACCATCATCATCAGCATCATCATCATAACAACAGCATCATCATGGTCAACAGCATCTCCGTCCTCATCATCATCAGCATCATCATCATAAGCATCATCATCCTCATCATGATTAAGCAGCATCATGATCATTATCAGCATCAGCATCATCACAATCATCATCACCGGCATGATCATCATCATCACCACCAATACCGCCACCACCACTACCATCATCGTCATCATCAGCAGCATCATCATCGCCAACATCATCCTCATCATCATCACCATCATCATAATCCTGCTATGCGTCTTCAAGTTCATCATCACCACCATCATCATCGCCATGATCAGTATCATCATCAGCATCATCATGATGATCGCCATCAACATCACCATCACCGCCACCATCCTCATCATCCATCCATTCATCTATCCATCAATCAATTAATCAGCAAGCAATCAAAAAAACAATCATCAGCATCATCACTCATGATCACCATCATCCTCACCCTCATCAGCGTCAGCATCATCATCCTCATCATCATCAGCGTCATCACCATGATCATCACTATCATCATCATCACCACCACCACCATCATCATCATCCCCACTCCTTCGTCCCCTGCCCTCCTACCCACCCACCTCATCCTCATCTGCCCCCTCCTCCTCCTCCACCGCTTCCTGGCCGCCTCCTCCGACCTGATGGCTACAGAGTTCTTCCGAACGCAGCCCCACCTCCGACCCAGACCCCCGACGTCATGATCTTTTCATGACGTCGACCCGCAGAGGTCTCGACCCCTTCCCTGGGACCGGTTTCTCGTCCCGAGTCGTTGTTTGACGGTCCCGAAAACTGCGAAAAACCTCCCGTCGTGATTTCCTCATAGCCCGAGTGGGTGTAGGGACCCCTCCTCCTCTTCCCCCTCCTCCTCCTCCACTCGCCATCGCTCGGACGTCCATTCCCTGTGCTTTTGTTCGGTTCCGTGCGTGGTTTCTTCGCCAAATGATCAAGGATGCTCCTCGATGGCCCTCGCCGAAGGAAAAATGCACACGTCCGAGCGATGCCAAGTCCACCCAATCCCGCTCCTCCCGCCCCAGCGGCGGATGCAGAGCGCTGACCGACCCTCGGCGCTAGCCGCCAGAGGGTCCCGTCCTCGCACCTCCCGCCCCTCCTCCCGTCCCGCCCTCGCCACGTCCTCTCCTTCCTTCCATCCAGAGGTCCTGCCCCTAATTATCCTCCCCCTCCCTTCTCCTTACTTCCTTCCATCCTTCCATCCTCCCATCCCTCCATCCTTCCCCTCTCCTCCCCTTCCTTCCATCCACCCATCCATATTTCCTGCTCCTCCATCCCTTCTCCTCCCTCCTCGTCCTCTCCCTAACATGTTGCACTGCAATATACCCCGCGTAACTCGAAGGAAACAAAGGCTACGACGCCGACGACTCCCCGAGGCACTGTGAAGCCATGTGTTTCGCGCATGCCAGCACGCCTGTCGTCTGAGTTGTAAACACGTAAGCAAATACGCCGTCAGGGCGCGGCTTCTTCTGACCATTATTATGATGAATATGAATGTGTTTCCTCTTGATAAGGGGGGAAACTAAGATTCGTCTTATCAGTATCAGATATCACCGTATGCTTCGCCACATCATTATCAGTATCATTATTACGTGTATTGATTATCTTCCCAGGTTCGGTCATCAGCGAATCGGGAAATCGGATCAACTCGGGATGTGCGTCGGATCGGGCTGATCGGCACGGAGCCGAAACCGAATCGAATCGGCCGCGCTAGGAAGGATGCACAACAGAAGCATGCGAACATCAGACCGCAGTGAATTCGTTGGGATCTCGGCATCGAGCCGGATCGAGCTGGCCAGAATCGGCTGGCACCCGAGTCGGACATCGAATGGGACCCTGCCGCCTCCACAGCCCGCAGAGCTCCCGGTGGCAGCCTGGGGACCTTCCATCCCCTGAGCATGCCATGGCTCGGGCGTCCCTTCCCTGCGCAGCTGTCGGCTCCGCGCGTGCGCTGCTCTTCTCCTCGAGGGCCCACGCCAAGGAGCAACAAAAAAAGTGCACGCGCCCGAGCGATGCCGAGGAAAGCCCTGCGACGGCCTGCAGTCCTCCCCGAGCCCCCGGACTCCGCCGCCCCCGTCCTCGGGTGAAGTCGGGCCTGTCCCCCTACAGGGGGATGTTCGACGAAAAATGAAAAAGTACCCCAAAAATAATTAAAAAAATGCAAAAATAAGTCTGGGGACTATCTTTTGAATATTTGTTGACCTTCCTGGGGTATGTTTGGAGTATTTTTTTATTTTTCGTCGAAAAGTCCCCTGTCGGGGGACACGCCCGACATAATCCTCGGGGGGTCGGACTTCCACACCGAGCCCTGCCTCGTGAGGGTCCCGGGAGGCCCGACGGCCGCCTCCTCCAGGGGCCAGGCACACGGCCACGAGCACGCGCGGCCCCGATGCCTCTCTCGAGGCGCCCGACGCCTGGGCTCCTCCTCCTCCTCCTCCTCCTCCTCTCCTCCTCCTCCTCCTCCTCCTCCTCCTCCTCTCCTCCTCCTCCTCCTCCTCCTCCTCCTCCTCCTCCTCCTCCTCCTCCTCCTCCTCCTCCTCCTCCTCCTCCTATCCCCCCGCCCCCCCCGCCCCCAACCCCTCCCTCCCTCGCTCCACACGGCGCAGGAGCACCAGGACAGACCAAGAGAGGCCCCCAAGACGGCCCCAGGATGGCCCCGCGAGGGATCCCCAGAGCGGCCCGGGAAGACCCCAAAAGAAAGAGTCCTGAAACGGCCCCAAGGAGACCTCCAAGGCGTCCCGCCGGACTCCTCCTTCCCAGGGCCTGACGCGCGCAGCGCCGCTCGCCCGGCGGCGCGGCCTCGTCGGGGCGCCCGCTGCTGTCCGTGCTCTTGTGGAGCGCCTGGCGGGCGGCCACGACGACCGACAACGACAGCCACGTCGGCGGCAACGCCGTCGACAACGACGACGACGACGACGACGACGACGACGACAACAGCGGCGGCGGCGGCGACGGCGACGACGAAGACGACGACGACGACACACGACGACCGGCGACGACGACGACACACGACGACCGGCGACGACAATGACAACGACGACGACAACGACAACAACGACGACGGAAACGACGACGACGACGACGACGACGACGACGACGACGGACGACGACGACGACGGACGACGACGGACGACGACGGACGACGACGACGACGACGACGACGACGACGACGACGACGACGGACGACGACGACGACGACGACGACGACGACGACGGACGACGACGACGACGACGACGACGACGACGACGACGACGACGACGACGACGACGACGACGACGACGGACGACGGACGACGACGGACGACGACGGACGACGACGGACGACGACGGACGACGACGACGACGACGACGACGACGACGACGACGACGACGACGACGACGACGACGACGACGACGACGACGACTACCGAGAGTCGGGTAGATGTACCCATATAGAGAGAGAGAGAGAGGAAAATGCATACATACATAAATCCACCGCCTGGGGAACCGATGTCCCAGGACCCCTGAGGCGGTGGATGTGGATAAGTTGTTGCGCCCCTCCCGGCCCCAAATGACACCCACGTCCACCTCCCCCCACCGAGCGGTGGATGTGCCGACGTCCCCGCCTCGGAGCGACAGCAACGACCGACGCCGGCGGCACAACATGCTGTCGCCGCCGAGATCAGCGGCGGCGACGAGGCCACGCGCCCAAGGTCGTGCGCCTGGCCGGGACGAGCGGGGGAGAGGCCCGTCGCCGACATCCGACGGCGTGATGGCTTCACAGCGCGACTCCACAGCAGGTCTGGACCCTTGCCCAGGTGCCAGGCGGGGATTTATCCACATCCACCGCCTGGGAACCGACGGCCTGGTGCCCCAGCGGGCGGTGGATATACATTCTGGACCCGGGGGCCCAAATATATCCATACTTATACGACCACCCTGCGGGTGATAAGGAGGTTGAGGGGGGGAGGGGCCCAGCAATGCGCAACAGTGGTGATCGTTGTTCTGACGATGCCAGTGGAGACTGTTGCGTTGCCGCTCGCTCTTGGGCGCTTAGGTGTCGAGTTGTTTACGTCACCCTGCGCTATTGGATCAATCATCTCACAATCGATATCACTACCGATCTCACAATTGATCTCACAATCGATCTCACTATCGATCTCACTATCGATCTCACTATCGATCTCACGATTGATCTCACTATCGATCTCACGACGGGACACCGACGGGACACCGCAGGACACCGACGGGACACCGACGGGACACCGGCGGGACAGCGGCGGGACACCGCGCGGCCCCGAACGCCGGGTCGCCAAACATTTGGTCCGGCCGCGGCCGCGCCTCAGCCACAAGAGACTGTCCTCTCGCCCGCCCACGCAGCTTCGCCTCGCCCGCAAGCACGGCACGCACGAACACGAAACCGAAATCGATTTCCCGGCAGGGGGGCTCTCCGTTCCACTTCGATCGCCCCCCAACCTCCGATCCACCGCCTGTCGAGGTCTCCGAAAATCGATACTCCGGGCGGTGGTTCTGTAGGAACCCCCGCCTCGGACCAGGGACCGGCTCTTCATCCACAGTCGCGTGTCGACCGGCTGGCCCGGGGCCTGGTGAGGGCTCCTGGAGGCCGAAAACAGCCAGAGACCTCCTGGAGGAGGAGGAGGAGGAGGAGGAGGAGGAGGAGGAGGAGGAGGAGGAGAGGAGTAGGAGGAGGAAGTAGGAGGGAGGAGGGAGGAGGAGGAGGAGAAGGAGGAGGAGGAGAGGAGGAGGAGCCTAAGAAGCTTCTCCGCGACGCGAGGGGGGCGACAGCACGGCGCGGGGGGAGGCGACGGCGACCGCCACCACGGCGGCGCGGCGGCCGTGCGCTGCGAAGAGAGACACGTCCTCGCCGAAGACGCGACCAGAGCCCTAGACTTTCGTTTTGTTCCTATCGTACTTCTGAGGACCACGTCCCAGAAATAGTTCCGAGCACCCAGAAAACTATCGAACAGTGTCTGCCCGACTCGCTGGCGAAGTGTCGAACGAGTATCGCCCCCAAGGCCCGACACCTGAACAATCGCCAGTTTCGGTACCTTCTTGGCGCTCGAAATTCTTTCTGACGATCAAGGCTAAAATAGGTTGGAGAATCATAACCCTAGACCCCAGCTTCCTGAGGCACTCTTTGAGCCAGATCGATCTGTGATGGCGCTGGGGCCCGAAACTGGCGAAGACGCCCCGTGGGAATAAGTTGCAACGCCCGATCCCGGGGGAGGCCCGCGCGCGAGAGGCGCGCTGCCGGGGGGGGCGGGGGGGCAGGCCGGAGACAAGGGCCCCTCGGCGGGCACGGCGCGGGGTGCGCGGGCAGTGGGCTACCCCTCCTCCTCCTCCTCCTCCTCCTCCTC